GTTTGTCTCTATGTGGCCCTGTGATGGACTTGCGACCCGTCCAGGGTGTACCCCGCCCCTCGCACAGTGATTGCTGGACATGGGCACCAGCGACCCCCGTGACCCAAAATGGAACAAACGGGTAAAGAAAATGGATGGATGGAAAAATTCCATGCTGACTGTGCAGCTCATCCATCAATCTTCCAATTATGTGTCATGTCCAATCTTACTTTGAAAAACAGCAATTGAGCGAGTTCATGAAAAACAAACAGCGAAGTAGTGAGGGACTACTGTACCTAGGGTTCCTAACTAATTAGACTGGCCAATTGTTTAATCTAGTAAATAACACTTCTGAAAGGGCTTTTCCACTTAGACGGAGAAAAAGGCATTGTTTTAGATATAGACCACATTGTTTTGGATGTATGAATCTTCACAGAACTGAACAACACTGACTAAGAGGAAACATTGTTGAGGAAAGTAAGTGGTGGAATAAAAGGTATAAACAGTGGGGAAAAGGGGTGAATTGACTGGATTTTGAATGGGTATCAGGGAGAAATTATTTACCTGTAACAAATGGCAAGAGTGGTCCTGCTGCTGACTGCCCTTAGCTTTGACTAGAGCTCTATCTAGGTTTAGGTTACCGGATCCTGTGCTGGCTCGTAGCTGGTTGTGGCTGTTGTTGTTGGAGTAGATCTCTCTGGTCCTGCTCACCGTAAGGCTTGATGACCATGCCCCTTTCTTCTCAAGAGGTCCGTCCACAAGACCCAATGGCAGCAAGGGGCCACTTCCTCCACCGAGACCTCCACCGCTGTTATTGCTGCTACCACTAACTGGCACACATGCTGATGATGATGCATATTTCATATTGCTGTTGCTCCGCGAGGCTTTGAGTGCAGAGTGGTGCATGTGACCATGGCGTGCATGAGTGTGTGTGTGGTCATTAAGTGTTCCATAGGGATCAGCCATGAAGTATTGCTGGGACTGTGAAGAGGGGAGACTTAAAAGAGGAGTCTGGGAATATTTGTCAGGATTGTTGCCATGGCACTGGGCCACTGACATAGCAACAGGTGAAGGGGAAATGGAGAGGGAGGGTGAAGGAGGAGGTTGGTGATGATGAGGGTGGTAGAGACACAGCTCCCGTTCCAGGTTGTCATCTGAGCTCCAATATCCGGAGCCCGGAGCAGATGCTGAACCATGGAGCTGGGGGTGGTGGTGATGGTGGTAACTTCGATGCTTGGGCTCCGCTGATCTACAGCGCTCCCGGCTCTTGCTGCGCTTCCGGTGGTGCACTCCTGCTTGAGGAGTTGCGCCTTCTGGGCTGGCTCTTGAACCACCACCACCACCACCTCCTCCACCACCACCACCACCATTAACACTCCCATTATTGGCCCCTTTTGAAGACTGTGTGTGATGTGGCCCCTCTAATGAATGTGACTTTGTGAAGAGTTTCTGGACAGAGTGGACCAAGTGTCGAATTCGCCCAGGACTATCATTGTTGTTGTCATTGGGCACCATCCCCCCACTTTGGGACAGCATTCCTCGTTTATACTGAAGTGTATGGTAGCCATCTCTGGAAAAAGGTGGTTGTTGCTCATATGGGTCCATATAATTTACTGGTACTCGAGACTGTGCTTTACCCCCATAGCCTCCTCCACCTCCTCCCCCTCGTCCTAATCCTCCTACATATGGTACCATGGCCATACACTCATCCTTTACCTCAGGATGGTGAGATGAGGAGGTGGAGTGGCACCTCCTTGGGAAGGTTCCATATGGGACAATGCTGTTGTTGTCGGAGGGGTATGGGGCACGCTGAGCATTGTAGTATGATAACTCAGCTGGATGTGGCGTAGGTATGGGTACCGGCATTTCCATCTGACTGAATAAATATGACTTACGGTCAACATGGTGACCCAGTGGATCATATGATGGTTCATAGGAGACCACATGATGGTGACTCCGACTATTGGAAAGGCCTTTCATGACAGGGCAAAAAGATGGATGAATGGAAAGCGGAATGAATGGATGAAAGATGCCAGGCTCGTTATCAGAGAAGGGCTGCCGAGGACTGTCACTGGGAGGAGAGTGGCAAACTCTAGAAAACAGAGAGAGAGAGGAACAATCATGTATCAGTTAAGACAGGCAAAATATACCACAACTTATGCAAACTGTAAATAAAAGTAGTATCTTACTGGGCTGCAGCTGTTGGAGACAACAAAATTTGAAAACAAAAATTTTCAGGTGCAGTATCAATGAATTCTGAGGGTTTACAATCAGTGCCCTGCAAGGTGTGTTGCTGTGGTTTACACAACTAGGTTTTGACAAACTTTCTATGCCATGCACATTATTTTACTGCCTACCTTCACCCATAACATACCTATCACGGCCCACTTTGCACTGGATTTGAGCAACTGGCTAACATTGTTCCAACAGCCACCACCAGTCAAACAACTCATTAATAGCAATGAAGTGCAGGTGCAGCTGTATTTAGGCATGTTTTTGTTGTTTGAGAAAAAGTGGACTAAATAAACCCTGTTCTCTGTACAACTGACACACAAAATTACAGATTTAAGGTTCCTTTGGTTTAAAACAAGGAGTTACTACACAGATTATCTCACAGGGCAAAGCCAAATTAACTTTATATTGTTTTTATATTTCATAGTTGATCTTTAAATAATACCAGAGTCCTTATTTTAAATATAAAACACTAAGAAACTGTTTTTTATTTTCATTCGACCTTTAAACAGGTTAGTCTCATTAAGCCTCGAGGACTAATTTAAAAGAGAGACCAAACAACACAGATGAGGTACAGATGACAATAGACAATCATATAAAAAGCATATAAAATGAAAATTAAATAGAATAGATTATATAAAAATTAAACAAAAACAGCTACATTATAAAGTGATGTAAAATACTAAAAACAGGAACATGTTTGGAACATTGGGTTTTGCCATGAACTTAGCAGTTGTTTAAAATCCCTTAGAGTGGTCAAAGTCAACAGCTTCAGTTCTTTTTGCAAAGAATTCCAGGTTACAGGGGTGGAGTAAGAGAAGTCCCTTTTGCCAAGTTCGGTCCGCACTGAGGGTACAATTCAGGTAATTATGTCTTGAGAGTGCACGTTGTAGTTGCACTGATGAAGTGACATGTATCAGAGTCAGAGTTTCTTTATTGTCATTCGCACCTCATGTGGTACATGTGGTGGAGCGAAATTATGTACACAAGGTCCCAGTTACATCCAACGATAAAATGTATAAGAAAAACAGTAATAACATCTAAGATATGAACTAAGAAAAACATCAACTAAATATACACTAAGCACTCATAACATAAAACATTGAACATCAGCACAAACATGAACATGAGTCTGTGAGCAGATGTGCACGCATGAACACATCAACATTGAAACAGATCAGCAGCAACATGAAACAGATCAGCAGCAACATGATATGGTTTTTCACAGTGATTATTCTAGTTAGA